TGTCTGGGGGAGGTGCTTCTCTGTGCACCTGTGCTGAGGTAGGTAGGCAGGTGTCTGGGGGTAGGTAGGCATTTCGGGGAGGTGCTTCTTGTGTCATGCCTTCATTTTTATGGTTAGATGGATTGAGCTTTTGTTGTTTGACAATGTGTGTTGATCCCATGGCCTCAGTTCTTACAAATTATCACCATAGAACCGATCTAATAGAACTTGCTGGACCAGATGACACTTATGCCACCCACATCCACGTAAGAGGAATCTCATGGTGTCCTTTTGGGGTACAGAACAGGCCTGTTGAGAGAAAATACACTACACTGGAAGAATAGGTTCATTCCAGTCAGTATAGCCTGCAAAGAGACTGTGCCTACAGCCTGGTATGGTTACTTGGAGTAGGGGAGAGCAGCCAGGTGGCCTCTCAGAGTTACACTCTCCTGCCACCCAACTTCGAATAAAACAGGAGAACAATCTAAAAGACAAAAATTCAGGGTCCATTGACTGAGTATGATAACATACACCTTCAATCCCAGAACTTGGGAGGCAGAGACAGGTGAGTCTCTAGGACTCCGTAATGGTATATTACACTGGGGGAGAAATAAGAGAGACTCTAAGAACTGAAGCAGAGCAGGATAGGACTCATCATCATACTGGCTGTCCTCTGAGGCCAGTCTCCACAGGTTCAACTGTAAGACACTGAGTACTCTCGCCCTGGGGGTGGGGCAGGTCCCTGTTCTCTGACCTTGAGCCCTCCACCAAATCTGAACCCTCCCCTGCCCCTGCCCCGTCCTATGCATTCTTCCAGAGCTCCCAGCTTGGTGTGAGTACAATCCCTCTTTGTCCTCTCTGAGCTCCAGCCCTTCACTAACTTGCATTTATGTTATATCCCTCACAGGGTAGACCGGTCTGTGGTGTCAGCAGGCCCCAGACTAATTGTGCATCACCTATTTCTACATCCATCCCTGCCAACCGTTCACTTAAGAGCTTTGCTGCAAACTGTTTACAGTAACTCCCTGCCACCTTAGTGCTCCCAAACCTTCGTGACCGGAAACAAAAACCCTCCCTTCTGACGTCAGGCGAGCTCTGCACATACCCAGGCTGGTTCAGCACAACTTCTGGCTGCAGTGGTCACAGCTCCTCATCCTCTCACACCAAGGAGATACTGTTCAGAATCAATTATCACTGATCTTCACCTCTTTCACTCTGACACGTCTGCCATCAGAGCTCTCTCCTGTCAAGAGCTCTCTGACTACCTTCCCTCAGCTCCACCTTAACAAGCACTGCTCAAACCCTGCATCTCTATACACATCTTGTTAAAGACAGCCAGGCAAGTCCAGGATTGAAGGATTGATTAAAAAAGGGATACTTCCAACCTTCTCAATCTCCCCAAGGCCTTCACCCCAACTCACAGGCCGCCCAAACACCACGGCTCCAGGATGCAGATAGACTTCCACCACATCACTTTCGGGTACCACCTGCACACGCTGCACCTCTCCTTTAGCCAGCATCTCATTGACAAAGTCGGCCCAGGAAATACTGCCTCCACTGGTACTGAGGGAGTTCAGCAGACTCATCACAACAGCAATGATGAATAAGGTGCGCAGCCTCTCACGATACATCTGGTCTTCCCGCTCTTTTCTTCTCCTCTCCTCTGAAGAGAACACAGGAAGAATCAGGCACATCAGGAGTAAGCCCAGGCACATTCTCACATGAGCAGGGTCTCACTTCTATCTCTCTCCTTAGGAATGCTCAGCAAAGGAGGGGCAGGATCTGTGTCCTAATGAATCCCAAGTTTCTGCCTGTTTTTCTAGTGCTATCCTAGACCTGCATGGGTGCACATCCTTTTTAAAAAAAATTTAATTTTTTTATTTATCTATTTATTTTACATCCTGGCTGCAGCCTCTCCCCATCCTCCCATTCCCTTAGCACAAATAATAAAAACCCAGAGACAGATATTGGGGTTCAACCTGAAGATCAGAAAAGCAAAGTAGCCAATCACTAGAGAGACCTTTTACCTCTACCAAGTCTTCAGACCAAAAGGATGACATTCCAGAAACAGATCCAGGTGGTGGTGGCTCACAACTTTAATCCCAGTGTTTGGGAGTCAGACACTTTAATCCCAGCACAAAGTAGGTGGAGATAGGAGTGATACGGCTGGGCAATGAGAGGAATATAAAGGAGAAGAGACAGGAATTCACTGGAGTGTGCAGTCTGAGGATTGGTGGAGACGGAACATCGTCCTCTGCTACACAGTGAGTTCAGAAACTGCTTAGGAGTGTAGGACTGGGCGGGAAGATAGCCCAGCTGTTAGGAGCATTGACTGTTCTTCCACAAGACCTGCGTTCAATTCCCAGCACCCACTGGAGACTCACAGCAGTATAGAACTTTAGACCCAGGACACTAGGCACACATGTGGTACATAGACACATATGTAGACAAAACATCTATACACAAAAACAGCCTGAGCATATACAACCCTTGTCTTGTGTTAGGGGGTTGGGCAAGAATTATGTTGTATATCTGTAATAACTGTAATTCTAGCACTTTGGGAGGCTTCGGCAAGAAAGTTGAAAGTTCAGGTCTAGCCTGGGCTAAAAATTTGAGAGCATTTCTCTCTCAATTTCAAAAAGTCAAAAACCAATAAATATAATTCATACCCTAGGCCCTAAGAATATCATATTGTCCCTCATTTATTCCCATGATCCCATCACCAGAGACAAGAGTGAACCCTAACCCTGAGATGGACTAGAAACTGGCATTTCTTCCTACATATTTCTTGCATGTCTTTGGGCTGAATAATATACCAGCTCAGAAAGTTCACAGCAAAGTTTTTTTTTTTTTCCTGCCGGAGTAACTGATGTCACACTGTCTCCAAATTGCTTAAGGCATGAACCTCCATCAAAGCTATCACATGGTACATCCACCAGTCAGCAACATAGAAGACTAATAGCAAGCTTTGTTGCCAAAATTCTTCCAGGGAGTGGGGGGGGGGCTGTGAATTGCTAAATAGGTCACGCTGCTACTGAATTCCAAGGGAAGAGTCACCAGGTTCCCAGGCTCAGAAATCCTTCCTGCTGTGAGCACCATGTAGCTAGTTCTAGACCCACATCATTCGTTGTGACCACTGCTGACCTGCAGAGAAACCTGGACAAGTCTCACCTTGCAGAAACAATGGAGGCATTCTCTTTAGGAGATAGCCTGAAAAATTTTGAAATCTATTTATTGTGTGTGCGCAAATTCATGTGCATCTCATGCATGCAGGAGCCCATGGAGGCCAGAAGAGGCGAGCAGAGCACCTAGAACGAGAGGACAGCCTAGATGGTTGTGAGATGCTGAGAAATGACCAAGGTCCCCTGCAAGAGCAGTAAGTGCCCTTAACCACTGGCCATCTCTCCAGTCCCTGCCCGAAAATGTGATCAAAAATTCATTTTCTAGCCAGGTGGTGGTGGCGCACACCTTTAATCCCAGCAGAGACAGCAGAGACAGGCAGAAGTCTGTGAATTCAAGGCCAACCTGGTCTTCAATTCAAGGTACTCAGTTCCAGGACAGCCAGGGAGGTTACACAGAGAAACCCTGTCTAAAATAAAATAAAGTAAAAATTAAAAAAAACTAGGCATAAAGATTTATAATAATCCCAATACTTGAGGGCCTGAGGCAATGGTCAGCCAGGGCTACAGAATAAGACAAACAACAAAAACAAATAAACAAGCAAAACAAACAAACAAAAATTACCCAGCCAAGCCAGAAGCAGAAACACACATTTATAAACCCAGCACTTGGGAAGCTGAGGCAGGAGGATCAGTTCAAGGAAGCCTCAGATACACAGTGAGTTCTAGGGCAGTCTGGGCTACATGATACTTTATGTCAAAAAACAGAGAAGGAAGAAGAGAAGTCTTTTCTACCTCAAGATGTGAAATGTTCACTTGTATGTTCTAAGTCTTCTTAGTTTTGCTTAAAAACAAACAAAAAAAACTATGTGTGTGATTGAGTGTGTAAGTATGAGTGCACATGTGTGGGTAGGTGTGCATGTGGAGGCCAGTCAGGTGACTTCCTTGATTGTTCTCCATCCTATATACTGAGATAAGATCTTCTACTTGAACCAGAGCTTGGTGATTCAACCAGTCCAGCCAGTCAGCTTGAGCCAGGATTCCCTATCTGTGCTCCCCGGTGATGAGATTTACAGACAGGCTGCCAGACTGCTTGGCGTTTACATGGGAGCTGTGGACCCAGACTCCTCACACCTGCACAAACAGGTGCTTTGCTCACTGACCCACCTCCCAGACCCAGTTATGCCTTTCAGACTTAATGCCATAGGTGAGCGTGACGGCGCATGCCCATAACACCAGCATTCACTCAGGAGAGAGAAGCAAGAGTACTGATACAATTTAAAGCCAGCCTGGTCCAAGTGAGACAGTTTCACACAAACAAAATAAGTAAGAAAATACACTTAATTCATTTAAAATTTGCTCTATTTTGAGAACAGAATTAAATGGGACAATGTATGAAAACCACGTAGTACAATGCTAAGCACATACTATATCTAAGGATAAACAATTTCCAACATTATTGGCTCTAAAAGCCTTACAGAAAACAAACAAACAGCTTCTAGCTAAGAAACTTAATAAACTCTAGAAGTTCAGTTCGAACACTAATTTTCTACATGTTTTATACTCCTGAATGAGTCCTAATTCCAGCAAGGTGAGGAAGATATGAGGGCATTCTTAGTCTCCCCAAGTGTGGCTATGAACTGGAATAGGCAGAACTAGCTTGTAAATGGTGGTGATCCTTCCACTGCAAACCTGTCCCACTCCTGTGCCCTCTCCTCACTCATCTGCTAGCTGGCTTCACACACTCAGGAACAGTGGGAACACTAACTAATGTGCATCGGGCTGGTTCACCACAGTCCCCGCTCCCAGAATTTAGGATTTACCCTTTCTGTGCAGAGACACAGAAACTCTGTCTACCTTCAGACATTCCTGAATGTGACAGAGGGACACACGTGTCCACAGAGACATCTATGAGAGAACAAAGGACTCGGCAATCACAGAAGTAGGGCAGTTTTCACAGGAACAGGCAATCAACTGTGCCTTTCCAGTCTCACCCTACTAAGAGGAGAGTATACAAGGAGGCACAAGAGGGACAGGTACTTCAAACATCAGGCAAATGTACCTTCATCATCTTCAGGGGCCTTGCCTTTGGGTTTATTATTGTCCTTATTCTTCTGTTTCATCCGTGAGGTGCTAAAATAGTAAGTACTATCTATAATAAAAAGAAAAGAATTAAGTTTGCAGCTACAAGAGACATACAAGAAGGCAGTGTGTCCACAAAAAACCCCATCACAACAGAAACCATTTGGAACCTGTGCCCTGAGAACTGCTGCATCAGAGGCATTACAGCACTTCCTTCTATGTATACTACAGTATCTGCTGATGAGAGAATAATGAACCATTAATGTATAAAGACAAATCTGTACTACCTAATACCTGATAGCTAGCGGCTGGAACATACTTCTCTTGCGAGAGGATTCCAGGTTTGGTAGTTCACAGCCATCTACCTATAACTACAGCTCTAGATAATCCAACACTAACATCCTCTTTCTGGCCTCTGTGGGTATCCGGATTCATGCACACACACACACACACACACACACACACACACACACAAACACACACTGAAAAAGTTTTTCATTTTTAAAAAAGTAATATTGGATTGGAGATAGCTCAGCAACTAAGAGCACTTGTTGCTCTTGCAGAAGACCTGGGTTCAGTTCCCAGCACCCACACAGCTGTTCACAACCATCCAGAATTTCAGTTTCAGGGATCCAACACCCTCTTCTGAATGCTCAGGTGGTAGGAATACCTGCGGCACACACACAAACATTCAGGCAAAACACTTATACACATAAAACAAATAAATCTAAAAAATATTTTTAAATAAAGCAACAAATTGGCTAATCAGGTACAGTAGCTCATGCCTGTAATACTAGCACTCAGAAGGCAGAAGGATCACCTTGAATTTAATGCTACCTTGGTTACAAAGTGTTGTACATAAGCCTAAACTACATGAGACATCTCCAAAAGAAAACAAAAACAAAATAATTTTTTTAAACAGTTTTAAGGGAAAAAATAGGTTTTTTTTTAAAGATTTATTTATTTATTATGTACACAATGTTCAGCCTCCATGTGTCCCTCCAGGCCAGAAGAGGGAACCAGATCTCATTACAGATGGTTGTGAGCCACCATGTGGTTGCTGGGAATTGAACTCAGGACCTCTGGAAGAGCAGTCAGTGCTCTTAACCTCTGAGCCATCTCTCCAGCCCCAACAAAATAATTTTTTAACTGGCTAATGTGAGAGAATACAGAACTAGAGGATACAGCTCAGTGGCAGAACACATGCTGGGTTTAATCCCTAAAGTCACCAAGAAAAAAAAGGTGTTAAACAAGTGAGTTTGAAAATGACACGAGTGGCCGGGCGGTGGTGGCGCATACCTTTAATCCCAGCACTCGGGAGGCAGAGGCAGGCAGATCTCTCTGAGTTCGAGGCCAACTTGGTCTACAAGAGCTGGTTCCAGGACAGGCTCTAAAACTACAGCGAAACCCTGTATCAAAAAAACCAAACCCCCCCCCCAAAAAAAGAAACAATCTTACTAGAGATCAATTTCAATCTGTTTTAAGTGAATTTAAGCAGTGGAATGACCCAAATGGTTCGGCAACTGTGGCTACCAGTCGTCAATGCCAGGCCTAGGTTGGCATTAGGCTGCACAGGAAAGGCTTGGTCTTGCCCAAAGTCTCAACAGATGGAGGAGAAAAATGACCTTTTATATGCATATAAATATATGTATGTGTATCATAATTTAGCCAGGTGTATTGGCACACACCTTTAGCACTCAGATCTCTCAATTTGGGGCCAGCCTGGTCTACAAATCAAGTTCCAGGACAGCCAGAGATGGTACAGAGAAACTCTCCCTATTTCAAAATAAATGAATAAACTGGGTGGTGGTGATGCATACCTTTAATCCCAGCACTTCAGAGGCAGAGGCAGGTGGATCTCTGTGAGTTCGAGGCCAGCCTGGTCTACAGAGTGAGTTCCAGGACAGCTATGGCTACACAGAAACCCTGTCTTGAAAAACCAAAATAAATAAATAATAATAAATGAACAAAAAATTAAAAATTAATTTTAAAAAGACAAAATTTTTATCTATATAGGTGTTTTGTCTACCTGTATGTATATGTAACACATGCATGCCTTGCGGAAACCAGGTGCCAGATTCCATGGAATTCAGAACACAGAGTTACAGATGGTTGTGAGCTACCTGATGTGGATGTTGGGAACTGAACTCAATTCCTCTGGAAGAGGGGTATTTTTAAACTATGAGCCACAGCTCCAGCCCTGAGTCTAATTTTCTCCATAAAAATATTAACAGGTGCAAAAGCAGAACTATACTTATTTCCATTAGAACTCGGTATTGAGTTTTTGTGTGGCTGGGGTACACTGATGCTGTTCATGCTTATCTCAGAGTCACTGAACCCGGGAAGATATTCAAATGAAACTCAAGCAAATGAGCCCAGTGCCAACACAGGTTGCTTCCTTCGAATTAGGATCCAAGCATTCCACTGTTCCCTAGTCCAACTAGGCAAGAAAGGAGCAAAATTCTGGCACCAACCCTGAATGTCCTCCTGAACTAAAGCAGAGACACTGTTAGATTTTAACCCCAGCACTTGGGAGCTAGAGGCAGGATCTGAGTTTGAGGTCAAGCTGTTTTGCAAAGAAAGTTCTAGGTCAGCCAGGGCTACACAGAGAAACCCCATCTCAAAGAGAAAAAAAAAAAACCAAAAATAAAAAACAATGAAACACAACTTTCACTTCATGCTTTATTCATTTTTATTATATGTGTGTGGGCGTTTTCCCACATGTGCATCTCTGTGCACGTGCATATCTGTGTACCATTTGTGCTGTGCTAGTAAAGATCAGGAGGGGCTGGAGCCTCTGGAATAGACATTAGATGGCTGTGAGCTGCCATGTGGGTTCTGGGAACCAAACCTGGGTCCTCTGAAAACGTAATTAATGTTCTTACCTGCTGAGTCACCCCACCAGTCTCCACCACTTCAATTTTAAAATGAGGGCTA